GGCCAAAAATAGCGCGATTTTCGCCGCTAGCGGCCAAAAATAGCGCGATTTTCGCCGCTAGCGGCCAAAAGTCGGACGATTTTCGCCGCTAGCAGCCAAAAATCGCCCGGTTTTTGGCCGCTAGCGGCAAACTAATCTGCCCAATTTGTAGTCCAATTTTGGGCTACAAAGTAGCGAATGTAGCCCAATTTTGGGCTACAAAGTAGCGAAAGTAGCCCAATTTTGGGCTACAAAGTAGCAAAAGTAGCCCAATTTTAGGTTTTTAAGTAGCGAAAGTAGCCCAATTTTGAGTTTTTAAGTAGCGAAAGTAGCCCAATTTTGGGTTTTTAAATAGCGAAAGTAGCCCAATTTTTCCCTAAAAAGTTGCGAAAGTAGGCCATTTTTGGCCTAAAAAGTAGCGAAAGTAGCCCAATTTTGCCCGAAAAAGTAGCGATAGTAGCCCAATTTTGGCCCAAAAAGTAACGATAGTAGCCCAATTTTGGCCCATAAAGTAGCAAAAGTAGCCCAATTTTGGCCCAAAAAGTAGCGAAAGTAGCCCAATTTTGGCCCAAAAAGTAGCGAAAGTAGCCCAATTTTGGGCTAAAAAGTAGCGAAATTTTGGGCAAAAAGTAGCGAAAGTAGCCCAATTTTGGGCTAAAAAGTAGCGAAATTTTGGGCTAAAAAGTAGCGAAAGTAGCCCAATTTTGGGATAAAAAGTAGCGAAATTTTAGGCTAAAAAGTAGCGAAATTTTGGGCTAAAAGTAGCGAAATTTTGGGCTAAAAAGTAGCAAAAGTAGCGAAATTTTCGGCTAAAAAGTAGCAAAAGTAGCCCAATTTTGGGCAAAAAGTAGCGAAAGTAGCCCAATTTTGGGCTAAAAAGTAGCGAAAGTAGCCCAATTTTGGGCTAAAAAATACCAATAGCCCAATTTTGGGCTAAAAAGTAGCGAAATTTTGGGCTAAAAAGTAGCCCAATTTTGGGCAAAAAGTAGCGAAATTTTGGGCTAAAAAGTAGCAAAAGTAGCGAAATTTGGGTGGGAAAGTAGCCCAATTTTGGGCTAAAAAGTAGCGAAAGTAGCGAAATTTTGGGCTAAAAAGTAGCAAAAGTAGCCTAATTTTGGGCTAAAAATTAGCGAAAGTAGCCCAATTTTGGGCAAAAAGTAGCGAAAGTAGCCCAATTTTGGGCTAAAAAGTAGCAAAAGTAGCCCAATTTGGGGCAAAAAGTAGCGAAAGTAGCCCAATTTTGGGCTAAAAAGTAGCGAAAGTAGCCCAATTTTGGGCTAAAAAGTAGCGAAAGTAGCGAAATTTTGGGCTAAAAGTAGCGAAAGTAGCCCAATTTTGGGCTAAAAAGTAGCGAAAGTAGCCCAATTTTGGGCAAAAAGTAGCGAAAGTAGCCCAATTTTGGGATAAAAAGTAGCGAAAGTAGCCCAATTTTGGGATATAAAGTAGCGAAATTTTGGGCTAAAAGTAGCGAAATTTTGGGCTAAAAAGTAGCAAAAGTAGCCCAATTTTGGGCTAAAAATTAGCGAAAGTAGCCCAATTTTGGGCAGAAAGTAGCCCAATTTTGGGCTAAAAAGTAGCAAAAGTAGCCCAATTTGGGGCAAAAAGTAGCCCAATTTTGGGCTAAAAAGTAGTGAAAGTAGCCCAATTTTGGGCTAAAAAGTAGCGAAATTTTGGGCTCAAAAGTAGCGAAATTTTGGGCTAAAAGTAGCGAAAGTAGCCCAATTTTGGGCTAAAAAGTAGCGAAAGTAGCCCAATTTTGGGCAAAAAGTAGCGAAAGTAGCCCAATTTTGGGATAAAAGTAGCGAAAATAGCCCAATTTTGGGATATAAAGTAGCGAAAGTAGCGAAATTTTGGGCTAAAAGTAGCGAAAGTAGCGAAATTTTGGGCTAAAAAGTAGCAAAAGTAGCGAAATTTTGGTCAAAAAGTAGCGAAAGTAGCCCAATTTTGGGCTAAAACGTAGCGAAATTTTGTGCTAAAAAGTACCGAAAGTAGGCTAATTTGGGGCAAAAAGTAGCAAAATTAGCCCAGTTTTGGCCTAAAAAGTAGCGAAATTTTGGGCAAAAAGTAGCGAAAGTAGCCCAATTTTGGGCTAAAAAGTAGCAAAAGCGAAATTTTGGGCTAAAAAGTAGCGAAATTTTGGGCTAAAAGTAGCTAAATTTTGGGCTAAAAAGTAGCACAAAAAGTAGCGAAAGTAGCCCAATTTTAGGCTAAAAAGTAGCGAAATTTTGGGCTAAAAAGTAGCGAAAGTAGCCCAATTTTGGGCTAAAAAGTAGCAAAAGTAGCGAAATTTTGGGCAAAATGTAGCGAAAGTAGCCCAATTTTGGGCTAAAAAGTAGCGAAATTTTGTTCTAAAAAGTAGCAAAAGTAGGCTAATTTTGGGCAAAAAGTAGCAAAAGTAGCCCAATTTTGGCCTAAAAAGTAGCGAAATTTTGGGCAAAAAGTAGCGAAAGTAGCCCAATTTTGGGCTAAAAAGTAGCGAAAGCAAAATTTTGGGCTAAAAAGTAGCGAAATTTTTGGCTAAAAAGTAGCGAAAGTAGCCCAATTTTGGGCTAAAAAGTAGCGAAACTTTGGGCAAAAAGTAGCGAAAGTAGCCCAATTTTAGGCTAAAAAGTAGCAAAATTTTGGGCTAAAAAGTAGCGAAATTTTGGGCAAAATGTAGCGAAAGTAGCCCAATTTTGGGCTAAAAAGTAGCGAAATTTTGGGCTAAAAAGTAGCGAAATTTTGGGCTAAAAGTAGCGAAATTTTGGGCTAAAAAGTAGCAAAAGTAGCGAAATTTTGGGCTAAAAAGTAGCGAAAGTAGCCCCATTTTGGTCTAAAAAGTAGCGAAAGTAGCGAAATTTTGGGCTAAAAAGTAGCAAAAGTAGCGAAATTTTGGGGAAAAGTAGCCCAATTTTAGTCTAAAAAGTAGCAAAAGTAGCCCAATTTTGGGCAAAAAGTAGCGAAAGTAGCCCAATTTTGGGCTAAAAAGAAGCGAAATTTTGGGCTAAAAAGTAGCTAAATTTTGGGCTAAAAAGTAGCGAAAGTAGCCTAATTTTGGGCTAAAAAGTAGCAAAAGTAGCGAAATTTTGGGCAAAAAGTAGCGAAATTTTGGGCTACAAGTAGGGAAAGTAGCGAAATTTTGGGATAAAAAGTAGCGAAATTTTGGGCTAAAAAGTAGCCCAATTTTGGGCTAAAAAGTAGCGAAAGTAGCCCAATTTTGGGCTAAAAAGTAGCAAAAGTAGTGAAATTTTGGGCAAAATGTAGCGAAAGTAGCCCAATTTTGGGCTAAAAAGTAGCGAAAGTAGTGAAATTTTGGACTAAAAAGTAGCGAAATTTTGGGCTAAAAGTAGCGAAATTTTGGGCTAAAAAGTAGCGAAAGTAGCCCAATTTTGGGCTAAAAAGTACCAAAAGTAGCAAAATTTTGGGAAAAAGTAGCGAAAGTAGCCTAATTTTGGGCTAAAAAGTAGCGAAAGTAGCGAATTTTTGGGCTAAAAAGTAGCCCAATTTTGGGCAAAAAGTAGCGAAAGTAGCCCAATTTTGGGCTAAAAAGTAGCAAAAGTAGCGAAATTTTGGCCAAAAAGTAGCGAAAGTAGCCCAATTTGGGGCTAAAAAGTAGCGAAATTTTGGGGTAAAAAGTAGCGAAAGTAGCGAAATTTTGGTCTAAAAAGTAGCGAAAGTAGCGAAATTTTGGTCTAAAAAGTAGCGAAAGTAGCCCAATTTTGGGCTAAAAAGTAGCGAAAGTAGCCCAATTTTGGGCAAAAAGTAGCGAAAGTAGCCCAATTTTTGGCTAAAAAGTAGCAAAAGTAACGAAATTTTGGGCTAAAAGTAGCGAAATTTTGGGCTAAAAAGTAGCGAAATTTTGGGCTAAAAAGTAGCAAAAGTAGCCCAATTTTGGGCTAAAAAGTAGCGAAAGTAGCCCAATTTTGGGCAAAAAGTAGCGAAAGTAGCCCAATTTTGGGCTAAAAAGTAGCAAAAGTAGCGAAATTTTAGGCAAAAAGTAGCGAAAGTAGCCCAATTTTGGGCTAAAAAGTAGCGAAAGTAGCCCAATTTTGGGCTAAAAAGTAGCGAAATTTTGGGCTAAAAGTAGCGAAATTTTGGGCTAAAAAGTAGCGAAAGTAGCTAAATTTTGGGCTAAAAAGAAGCAAAAGTAGCCCAATTTTGGGCTAAAAAGTTGCAAAAGTAGCGAAACTTTGGGCAAAAAGTAGCGAAAGTAGCCCAATTTTGGGCTAAAAAGTTGCAAAAGTAGCGAAACTTTGGGCAAAAAATAGCGAAAGTAGCCCAATTTTGGGCTAAAAAGTAGCGAAATTTTGGTCTGGTTGATTTAGTATCCCCCCAATCTCCTCTTACTCTATTGAGACGGCTGGATTCTGGTCTCCAATAGATGTTCACAACACACACGAACTTAGTAGGGTACTGAAGGGTTGCAGGCTAAACAGGTGGGTAACTCGGTACGCTGCGCATACTAGTGGCTTTACAAGATTGTAA